TGCTAAGAGTGGTGGGGGGGTGTAGTGAGGCTGAGGGTGTGGGAGGTAGTGAGGCTGAGGGTGGGGGGGCAGGTGTGATGGAGGGTGGTGGGGGGGAAGTCGGGAGGGGTGGTGTGGGGGGTAATGAGGCTGGGGTGGTGATGTTGTGGATGGTGTGGGGGGTGGTGATGCTGAGGGTGGTGTGGGTAGTGAGGCTGGTGGTGGTGATGTTGAGGGTGGTGTGGGGGGTAGTGAGGTGGAGGGTGGTTGGGGGTAGTGAGGCTGAGGGTGTGGGGGGTAGTGAGGCTGAGCGTGGTGTGGGGGGTGGTGATGCTGAGGGTTTGGGGGGTAGTTAGGCTGAGGGTGTGGAGGTTAGTGAGGCTGAGGGTGGTGTGGGGGGTGAAGATGTTACCGGGAAACTGACGGAGGCCAAGCACAGAGAGATGGACACAGGTTTCTTCAGGAAGGAAGAGATCTTTATTCGATTCACCGACCGGGACTCAGAGGGACTTATGTCACCAAAAACAGCAAAGATCTGAGCACTGAATAAATAGAGTAGATTCCTTATATAGCACTGTAGCTCCTCCCATAACTAGCTACGCCCACACATACCCTTAACCTAATCAATGAATAGAGTCTAAACTCATCCATCCGGTCTAACCACATGGCTCATCTGAAACAAAGGAGAGGGAAGCGTAATTCCAGTTCCTGCATTCCTGCACATGCTCAGTACAATGATGACAGTATCTTAGCTATGTGTAACTAACTAACTGATACTACAAACACATGTACCTACATATGCCTTGTGGCAATCTTGGCCTGCTAAACTTTTATTTTACTGGAATTCCATCACATTCCCCCCTTTGATGCTTCTGATTTAAAATAATTCCAGATGCATCACCAATCATAGTTTGCTTACACCTCAAGTTGCCATAAACCAGACTAGACTTTGCGATCCTCTAAAGATACGAACCCCTCAACATTCCTCTTCCTGCATGTATTCTCCTTGATATAGAGCTTCATACCTGCAAACAGCCATTACCTGTGCTGCGGCCTTTCTTTCTGCTATACTTTCTATAATGCTCTGCATAGACCTAATTACCAAAGGAATCAGACATGGCAGAAGGAGACACAACATCAAAAATCAGTATGACTCCACCTACCAATGCCTTGATTCCTCCAAACTGCTCATACCAACTACCAAACCAACTACTCTGATTATACCCACTCCAGACCTGAGTAGGTAAATGCGCAAGTTTAACCATGTGACTGGTAAGTTCAGCCACTGCCTGCCCTTCATCATCTTTGTGCAGACAATAGTTACTTAGATTAAACTTCCCACATACACCTCTCTCTGCCTGTCGGAATACGGCAGCAACAAACAAAGCATTAAAGAGTTTGTGGCGAATGGAAAAACATACAAAATAAAAGAACTTATAACATGTCAAACAAAGAATGTGATATATATGTTACTTTGCCCATGTGGTTTCAGGTACATAGGCCGGACAACTAGACAGTTACGAACAAGAATATGTGAGCACACCTATAACATAAAGAGAAAATACCAATTACATCAAGTGTCTCTACATTTTGAGGAGTTTCATAATTCTGATCCATCCCTTTTAAAATTCATAGGGATTCAACAGATCAATAACAATTGGAGAGGAGGCAATTTGATCCAGAATTTAGGCCGTACGGAGATGAGGTGGATATTTGAGTTGAACACTCTCATTCCTCACGGAATGAACAATGATTTTGAGATCTGTCATTTTTTATGATTCTATATATATATATATATATATATATATATATATATATATATATTTCTATACAATACACTTTTTGGAGGTGTATCTGTATATATATATTTTTATGCTTTTTTGGAGAGATATATTCCTCTAGACTGTTTTGGAGGGATATGTTCCTTTAAATCAGTATAAGTCTGGAGATCCACTCAGGCTCCGTTTTAAATAAGCTACTAATGTGTCCATTGAACATTCTACTTGTTTCTAATGTATATTTTGTCTGTATAATATGAAAAGACATTGCTATTGTGTCACTTTAAATAACAAGATGAAATTACACTGTAATAATGATGGACTAACAATAACATATGTTGTTTCCTTTTCTCTTTCTCTATTTTTGAACTAGGTATCTTTAATTGAAATATAAGTGCTTTTATTGGATGTATTCTATTGATTGTGGTTAGATGATTAGGGCTATTTAATAGATTATGTTGAACTATTTTAATTTTAAAATCTTTTTTATTGGTATTATTGCATATATATTGAATGTACTGCATTAAAAAATTTGCTAAATGTATATTTTGCTATAAATGGAAATGAAAAAAGAATGTTTTATAAGATAAATCAATGTTTATTGATAAGGATGCCAAACACATGTGGACAATATTCAAATGCACTAATTGTGTGTAAAGCAAGGTATATAAAAGCTCCCAGAGAGGGGGAACAATCAAGCACTTCACGTCCTGACGAAGCCGTCTGTGAACGGAGAAACGCGTAGATACGGAAGTACATCAATAAGGGGGCAGAGCCTAATCAGAAGCCGGGCGTTTCAAAAAAGCAGAAGCAAGACCAGACGCCATCCGGACAAAATAAAAAGGCACCCCACAGACGATTAGCCATCTTCTGGTACAGGAGACATCTCCCAGTGCGGGAAAACCTGTTTGTGGGTAAACGGATTTACACCGTTGTACTCACCACCACATCTAGTAAGCAGTAACCTGCTATACATTTTGATAGTGTTTGGCTTCACTGTTGCATCAATTAAGCAGTAATCTGCTAAACATATGTCAACTAAAGTGAATTTAGATGTATTTTATGTTTTTATTATTATCATTCTTTTATTACTTTTTATAGCCTGTTATGTATTGATTATTATCTTCTGTTTTTAATTTGTGGTAATACTGTAATAAACTTTCATCCAGCTAATTAAGCTGATTTAATTCAATGTTTATAGAATTCAATAATATTCACTGATCCATGCAGATCTGTTCTATGATCCTTTTCATATATTTTTTCCCATATATGCTGAGCTTGAATTGGGATATTAAGCAACAAGCAATATAAGTATAAATTTATTTTTTTATCACTTGATTGCATGTGGGAAAGGGGTTTTGTCCTCTAGCTCTAACATTGCTCCACTTCTTAACACTATAATTTCTATTTTTTGTATGTGGTGAAGGGATCACTTTGAAGTGTGGTAGCAGGCAATTAAAGAGATACTGTGTAATACACAATTGTTAAATAACTCTACTTTACCCCTGTAGAACTGTGTATATTAAGCGCTCCAGTATTGTAAGTTTTTTCTGTACACCTCTCTCTACTGCTAATAAATAGTCCAGAGCTAATCTATTTTGATAGATGGCTGATCTCATTCGGGTATTATGTTTAGCTAGGAGATTGAGCGCCTGTGCTGTCTCATTGGTAACTATCTCAACTACTGCTTGCAATCTTATAATACGATTAAGCATATATATTGGGGTTCTGTATCCATAAGTACCATCCTCAGCCCACGTAGCTGGCCCATAATAATCTATAATACGCTGGGGAGGCCACTCATCATCTTCCCAGGTACCTATCTCTAGGGGTGCCCTTTTCTTCCTATGATTTACATCATATACTTTAACTCCCAAAGTCTCTCCTGTTTCAATTGGCAACAAGAAGAAGGATGGTTTGAGCATACCCAATACACATGCCCCTTCCCAGTCCTGTGGTAACTCCGAATATGCTTTCTTACCACAAATCCAGTACAAATTTGCTGGGGCTTTCCAACTAGATGTAGCAGATAGGTCAAACCATACATCCTTTAAATTGGTATAATTTGCAAATGGATTAGACGGTTCTGAGACATTTGAAGCTGACCACCAAGTAGTATCTTTTGTATCGTCATTATAGGCTTTCTGCCCTAAACAAGTCAATTCTCCTACAGATGTATTAAACATTATTCCTTTCCTTGCTATACAAACATAACCTATAATGGAGGTCTTTAATCGCCACTCAGATTTACCTCTAACACTCACTTGATAATCAGATTGAGAAGATATTAGTTGTTCAACTGTCTCAGAACCAGAATACATTACCTCCTTTGCTTCCCAAGGCCATTGGTCTCCCATAATAGTACCTCCACACACATAGCAGTTGGTTACATTAAGACTACCAGCAATGCTCTCAGCTAGGTCTGTGAATAAGTTTTTGGCATTATGGGGAACCTTATCTTCCACACTCATCTCAAAGAATGGAAAACCTGATGAGTCTGGGGGGCCACTGTAACTGTCTCTATTCCTATGAATAATATCGTCCCAGGATCCAAACCTGTTCCATATATTTGGAACCCAAATAGATTCCCAAACTTATCTATAAATAGCTCTGGGTCCTTGATAAGTATATGGACTGGGTTACGCTCCATAGACTTACAATATGGCTTGGTAGGCAATCTAGTGATAATCATATCCTTATTTACTGTCTGTCCCCAGGTTGCCCATCCCACACAGGACCAATACGGACAATAATTGTAGTCTTTATTTGGGCAGTTTGGATCTATATTGTCAGAGTATTTATATCGGCAGATATTTTGTGCTATGATAGAAACTAAAAGTGTATATTCTGAGTCACTCTGAACAGACCAGACTCCATTTTGTTATTTCAAGTTAACAAAAAGACACTATATTTCTATCTGTAAGCTAACCACTTTCCCAGATTTGAGGAATGCATAGTATATACAAACAAGTGATAAGGAAGGGGGTTGGATAGACTGTCTAAAATGCTAATGGAATATAATCAAATCTAAACCCAGACAATTGTGACAGAGAAGATTAAATAATTTAATATTTAACTGTCTATATATATAAGGTACCATTGTATGGAAAAGGGTAAACTTAGTTCATGATCTGTCATATCAGAAATTATGGCAGGAATTGCAGACGCTAAGTCTGGACAAAATTTAAGAAACCCTTTGAAATTTTAAATTATGGCGCTATAAAGATAACGCAAAATGACGTCAAAATAGCCACCAGGAAAAGTTAACTCTTTCCTGGATAGGTATGTTTAGTGGGACAAGACTGCCCTCTACAGACCAAATAACTAATTTGCGATCTGGAAGATAACCACACCTCTAGTGCTTCTATTGGGTTATCAACTGATGACGTACAGAGAGTCTGGCCCTTTAAAAGTTAAGACAAAGGGAAGATAGATATACAATATACAGGAGAGGAGGCAGATGCAAGATATGCAAAAGAGAAAAGAGAGGAATTGGAAGTTTGGGGATTCCAACTCGGACAACATCTGAGACTAACATTCTACTCCTAAAACTCTAACACTTAGAATTTACTGACTTTCTAACCAACACCTCCATGCAGAGAGACTACCAATCGGATGAAATATCTACTCAACTGGTAATTATACTGGTTTCATTTAATTAAATTAAATTAATTAAAATGTATTAATAGCATTATATATGACTGGATAAAGCACGGTCAGATTTCCATATTAAGAAATCTTAGTTAACTAAGAATATATAGTTATAAACATTCCATTCTGCAGGTGGAATTAAGAATAATTATATATTGATGTGATATTATCACGTGTTAGCATACCGCTGTTTTTATCCAGGTGTATTGATTTGCTCTAAATTAAGATAGATATCTTTTAGACAAATTAAAAATCTGCTTATATAATGTGGTAAATTCTCTTATGGATGGTTTAAGAAAATGACTAGTGAACTGGTTTAAATGTTATTTTATTTAAAAATACATAAGAATAGATCTTAACTACCTAGGAGATCTAGCCAGCATTGAAAGGGTTATTCTAACTGTCTGCTAAACTTCACGACCTTACGCTGCACTCTGAGGAATTCTGTTCTCTGTGTGAAAGGTTTCACTTTCAGTCTGTGAAAGATAGTCATAAATAAAGTCTTGACAGAAAATGCTTTTTAGCCATTGAAACGTAATACCCATTCCTCTGTATTGCATACCATTTTATACTGGATATTCATTGATTATTGTTATGCATGTTACATATAATATTATTATTATTAATTTGTCATTATAAATAAAAATCTATTTTTATACATTGTGATATTATTATATGAAATACATTCCACTTAACACGATAAACGTTCTTTGGGATCTGAGAATTGAATTAGTGGGCAATTCTCACTGTTACTATTATTATCCCATAAATATCCCCACATATTGGAGGCACGGTGCTGAGATCGTTTAAGTTGAAATTGTATTTCATATATAATAATAATATTGGTGTAATTCATGCAATTTAATCTTGATATAGAAAAGAGTTTTGTATTGAGATTAAATCACTGTATAGAAATATGGCTGAATCCAGTAATACATCTGTAACAGATAATACTGAAATAATTGAAGACCTAAGAAAACATGCTCTAGTTCATATTCATAAACATATGAAAAATGATGCAACCTATGAGGTTTGGTTGAAAAGCATAGAATGGGAAGCTAAACACACCATTCTAACTGATGAACACATCATCATATATCTTAAAGAAATTGCTGAACAAAAGAACATAGAAAGGAAAATGGCGTACATAATACACTCTTGGCCTTTCTTTATGACAGCACTTCTTAAGGTGTGTGATGAAAACAAGTCACTGAATGCCAAATTGGACACGTACAGTGACGATTTGGGCATTCAAAATGGGAAATACCAAGATTTACTTGCTGAGCATAAAACTCGTCAGGCTGATCATGAAAAAGAAATGGAAGCTTTGATGGATAAATATGCACAGGAAATAAATCAGCTTAAAATGCAATTGGATGAGTATGAAAAGGAGAGTCAGAAATTAGACAGTGAGGTTGGTAGTCATCATTCTGTGCCAAAAAGTTGCACAAAAATGCAAGAAAAGACTATTTGTAAATCCCCTCCTTATTATGATTTTCCCACACCAAACCAGGTTTTCATAAAACAGTCTGTAAGAAAAGATGTGAGTAATTCTAAAAAATCACCTGTGGAACAAGATTCCCCATCTCATGACATTACCAAGCCATCTTGGCAATCTTGGGCAGAACAGTTTGAAAAAGCTGTCTTGGCCAAACTTGAGAGGGAGAGTCCAATTCAAGGTGATAGGAATGAAAACAGACATGGTTCTGTACACTGGCAGGATTCTGATGCTGATCAGAATTGTGACAGTGAACAAGAAGCTCAGAGTGATGGGAGTGAAAGTGATTGCACTGTCCACTCTGAAGGCCATGTAACTGATATGCCATCTGCACTGTTGTACGGGTCTAATTCCTCTTCAGCAGACAGATCGCATAGACGTTTACCCAAACACAGAAACAGAGGTCGTAAATCAACGACGCCTGTTTATGAAACACCAAAGGTCATCAAATTCCTTAGAGAGACTGTCCCACAATTTTCTAGAGGTTCAGGAAACATATCTGAACATCTGGAAAATTATGATAGAGCAATGAATTCATTGGGCATGTATGATGACATTCATAAGAAATGGTTCATTACATGGACCTTTGATTCAATGTGCCGTGTTTATCTAGAAAGTCTTCAAGCTATACAGTTAATGTCCTGGTCCAAGATGAAATATGAAATAATCATGGAATATGGTAAGTATAAAACCATTGCCTCTGCAAAGAAGGCGCTTTATAATTTAAAGTGCCGTCCAGATCAAAGCCCCAGAGAATTTCTAATAATTCTTAAAAATGCATACTCCGTGGCCCAAAGAAAACCCAGGTATGAAAGCACAGACTTCAAAGATCTGTATTTTCATGCCATGCCGGTAAACATACAAATGAATCTCGCAAGAGATTACGATTGTAAGTTACCATTAGAATGGCTAGTCAGTCAGTGCATGAAGTTGTACACTATACACCATGCACATGACGAAAATCAGCCAAAGGTTAAGAAACCTGGTGATAAAATGGTGTCAGAGACTAAAACTCAGTTAGGTTTAGAAACCCAACAGAAAAAGAGGACCTATTCCGAGGTTTTGAAAACACCAAAACCTCAGAAACAGGAAAATGCCGGAAGCAATTCTGCAAATTCCTCTAATAACTCTGAAAAGTCCAATACCAATGGGAATAAACGCCCCTGGGTTAATAAAAACCAAGGCAATTCCCAATGGAGAAGGAATCCTCAGGGAAATAGGAGATATGGAAACAGAAATAACCAATCTGCTTCCAGTAACTCCCAACAGTCTCAGCCATCCCAACCAAATTCTAATGGGCAAAGACAAAACGGCAATGGGGGAAATAATTTGCGTCGTCAGGTTGGTCAATTGACTGACCAGATGGGCAAATTAATGGAGGGAATGACAAAGATTAACCAAGTCTTTGCCACAAATCCTTTTTTAGGGATAGCTCCAATTGCAGAACTACCTGTGCAACCGCAGCAACAACAACAGGTGCCGCAGCAATAATAACCACTGTGACTAAACAGGCTAGGTTATCAGTAGATGTAATGCCTAACCCTGTTTCCTTTCCAGGTACTCATAGTCAAACAAACAATAGTTGTGTTAGGAAACCTATTGCCTATCCCGTCACTTCACTTTCGGGTGAAGGAGGCGCAACGTGTTCCTCTGTTTTTTCATTTCAGCCAAAGGCTAAAATAGCCCCAGCAGCCACAAGTTTCCAGGATCCAGACCTGAAAGGGTTAACTGATGAGATGCCGACCACTAGTTCCCGCTTGACAGTTCAAGATATTCCTAAAAAGGATGGGCCTGTGGGTAAGACTGAGCATTCCTCAGTACAGGTAGAAACTACTGCTGTGACCGGTAATGTATGGAAAACAAGTAATATGTTGACACATTCTAAATTCTTATGTGAATTAGAAGAACATGAAGGAAGGTACTACATGTCTGTAGAAATACAGGATTCGCTACCCCAGCCTTTTAAAGGGTTAATAGATACTGGTTCACAAGCCACTATCTTATCAAATACCTACTTCCAGCAGGTAATGGACTTAGCAATGGATAAGCCGAAGCTAAGAGATTTCCCCAACGCTTTGTTGAGTGTAGGAGGAAATGCCCTTCATGTTATTGGCAATACCTGGTTAAAGTTTGAAATAGGTAACAAAACCTTTAGACACCCGGTGATAGTGGTAGATCTCCCCTATGACCGACTGATTCTGGGTATAGACATACTCAGAAGACTTAACACAATTATTGACTGTGTGAATGGAATTGTATGGTCACAAGCTAAGGTTCCCATAACCTATGAGAAATCACATGTTCAATCTGATCGTAACTGCCATGTGATAGAAGAAAGACCTGACTCAATTGAGGTACATTTTAGAAATAGTCAGTCACCTGACGTGACTATCCTGCAGGTGAATGATGCAATCGCACCTGTAGATGAGCATTCCGTAAGAATTGCTCCAGAGAGGATCCAGAATGTCTCTCTGGAAGGTGATGTTTTAACCATTTCTCTCCACAGGGATTATGTTGAATCTGTAGATCTGGCAGGTCATGCTCAATTCCTTGCCAGAATTGAAAGGGTTAATAACAACCTATTCTTTCCTATGCAAATACATGACTTAGGAAGAAGTAGGAATGCAAAGCTGGACTTACAGAGTGAGAACAGCTATATTAGCAGAAGTCTGTTAAAGCAGATCGCTAATCCTAAAATGATCAGGTACGCTTCCCCACATGACAGGTGGATCCAGAACCTGGATGGCGAATCAGAGAGTTACAATGTGATAGCAAAATGTTTACTATCTATTTCCATCGGAAATAAGACAGTTAAACATTTATTCCTAGTGATAGACGAACCTCGCTATCAGGTTTACGTTGGCAATGATGTCATACATCGCTTTGCCATACACCTTGACCTGATTAATTCCAACTTGTGGACAAGGTTAAAAGGTAATCCTTGTGGATACCTACACGAGGAAAACGCCCTGAAATCAGGACAAATACTCCCATATGCGGTAAGTATCCAAGTTCCTGATTACATAACCATTCCACAGGGGACAAGTAATTTTCTTTTACCCCTACAGGTCAAGGAGGGTCAGAGATTGGAAAACTCTGATGCCCTAATCTGTTTATCCAACAGGATACAACAATTAGGGATGGTGGTAACACATACACCAATGGTAAGTATTGGTAAGAATCCCACCTATATCATGGTCAACAATGTTACACCCAATAGTGTTACTTTACCAAAAGGAACATTATTAGGTCTAGCATTGGATGCTGAGTACTATACATTTGGTTTCCAAAACCAAATTATA